TGTTAAGTATATAATAAAACTTCAATAAAAATCTGACAAATGAATGTACATAAAGCTCTTTCCTTCATCTCTCCTTGACAATTTATATTCAAGTTAGGACTCCTGATATCTTTATGTCTTTAAAAGTGTCTTCTAGAAGATTAATTTCATAAAAGCAAAGTTTATTTTCAACTTCCTTGACCTGAACCTACCTAGCACATATTAGGTATCTAAATGTTTGCTGAAAGGATGATTCCCTCACTTAATGCTTTGCTAAAATTCATTTTTACATTATCTAATCAAAAAGAGATTAGATCTACATCTCATAGAAAGCATAAAATTATGGCTTTTTTGGATATTTAGCAAGTCTTCAAATTTTTACATGCTCTATCCCAGAAATACATTCTATGTAACTCAAAAATATAAATAATCCACTTCAAATAACAAGCAAAAAAAAACCCAAGCATGTAAAAGTAACTGTAAACACATGTGTTGCTACACAGGCACTTGTATGTGTGTCCACATGGATGGGAACACAATGCAAAAGTCTGTGAATAGAGAAGTGATTAATAACTTAACCTATGATGGAATAAAAATGCAGCCATTAAGAAAAATATAGCAACTTGAAAACATGATAAATAAGATACCACTTGGACAGAAGGGGAAGTCAATTTATAGACTATTTACATGACATTTCAATAGAAATAAAAAAATATTAATTTGTGAGTGTGTTTATAAAGGTATATCTATAGAACAAGGTCTGAACACTTTACAAGAACTAGTAAACTGTTATTCCTGTGGGGAGGGGAGTGAAACACAAATGTGAATATCTTAGAGTCAGTATAAATTACTTCTATAATTATAAATAAATACACTACAGTTAAGAAAAAGACTAAATCTAGTCAATACCTCACCTTTTATCACTTAAAATAATTTAGAGACCAAGTTTTTTTACTCTATTACTGCACAAAACCACTGGTTGTCTAATTTATAAGATTGAGGTTTCTTAGAAGCCCTTTAAGTGTTTTATTTTAGATCATTTTAAAAAGAGCACTATTTTTCTCCTCACTACTGGACTAAGGATGTTATAAAATTTCAAGTACAAGCAACAAAAATAAATACATAAATACTTCTGAGTTATCTTAATGTCAGAATTACCAGAGTAACTCCTAAGATCACAGAAAGAAAAAATACAAATCTCCAACACAAATTACGGCATAGAATTTCTAAAATTACTTTTATTCTTAATGTTTTGAGATAGTCTTAGAAAGCTGTCACAGGCATTATAATGTCAACTTTATTTAAGGTACCTTTTTCTGGAATTGTACATCTTCATTTTCTAGCGCACAATTGTCATCTTGAGAGTAATATGATGACGCCGAAGCTGAAGAACTCTCTTTACAACATACACGCCAACTGGGAAGCCTGTAAAAAATGCCCACCACCATCAACAACAACAACAAAAAAAAGGAAAGAAAGAAAGAGAAGTTGTTAAGTAATGTACTCCCCTATATGGGCTAGAATTTGAGGCAATAAACACACATATGGTGCCATTTTAATACCCTTAACAATTTAATGATGAAGATAAATGCACTTAAGGGCTTTTTATTTACTGCCCTAAGAAAAACATTTAAAACATAAATGTTTTTCAGCATTCTAAGACATGAATTCTATAAAGATTCAACAGAGTTCATAGAAGAAATATCTTATAATTACATAAAAGGAACACAGAAATTTGTCAAAGAGCTAACCTCCTCAGAAAGTATCAAATGCCAATGTTATTCTAAATTCTACTAAATATTTAAGAATAAATAACCCTAAAGTTATCCTAACTGTTTCAAAGTATAGAAGTAAAGCTTCTAAATATTTTTACATAGGGAACATAAGAATGATAGCAAAAGATAACAGAAAAAGCACACATAGGAAAGAAAACTATAGGCTAGCAGTACTTAGAAATAAGATGCAAAACTTCTAAAGAAAACAATAAAAAAGAAAAACTACGAACATACTAAAGGAGAAATATACCACTCTTAGAATCAAGTAGAATTTAACTCTGAAATTTAAAATTGGTTTGATATAACAAAAGTATATAATTGGCCACGCAAAATTATCTTATCATCTCCACAGACACTGAAAGACATCTAATAAACTTAATACATCCATCAAGATTTCTTACATCAATAGTAACATAGGAATAAGTATATATTTAACATGGGAAATACATGCCTAAAGTCAGTATTCTACTTAGTGAAGAAACCTAAATATACCCTATATACCCATTATCACTGATATTACAAAAACAGGACAATAAAAAACTATTATTACAAAACATGAGAATAAAAGAGATACAGAAATGGAAAAGGAAACAATAAAATTATCATTAGTTGCAAATAATAAGCTTATCTGTAATAGCTACAGATAATGAGTTTATATAATTGGAAAATTAGAAAAAATTACCTACTAAAAGAAGTTCTAGACATAAAAATTATATTTCTTGTTATAAAATTAAGAACCAAATCAACAGACTCCATATTCAAATCATTACATCAGTTATAAAATCTAATATGAGTACCTATTTGTAATAGAAACAATAAAATACTAAGATATAAACTTAGCAAGAAAGCTATAAAGTACAACTGTGTTAAAATTGCCAATATTTGGGCGGTGCCTATGGCTCAGTGAGTAGACCACCAGTCCCATATACTGAGGGTGGCGGGTTCAAACCCAGCCCCAGCCAAAACACAACAAAAAAATATCCAGGCATTGTGGCGGGTGCCTATAGTCCCGGCTACTCAGGAGGCCAAGGCAAGAGAATTGGCTAAGCCCAAGAGCGAGAGGTTGCTGTGAGCTGTGACATCACAGCACTCTACCAAGGGCGACAAAGTGAGACTCTGACTCTAAAAAATAAATAAATAAATAAAACTGCCAATATTTAACAATGTCAAATTCACACAAGTCAAAATAATATAAGATTAAAAACATTATTTATTTCAGAGACAAAGAGGTATATATCAAATTAATCAAATAAGATCAGTGGTTTCCTTGAAAAGAGAAAATTAGTAAAGAGGAGAATGGCTTCTTTGAAAAATTAAAGAAAAACACTTTTAGAGCTATTTGACTTCTTAAACTACAAATACACTAAAAAAATAAATAAGCAAAAGCAAGGAACATAACTTCAAGGAAAATGGGGAGAAAAGCAAAATAATGATATTTTCTTTATACAACATTATCAGGACACAAAATTTATGCACATAGCAGTATCTTAGCATATATACTTTTGGACAGTAAAAAGTTTTCAAGGAAACATCAGAAACTGTGAGTATAAAAAACAAAACCTGCAAGTATTGTAAATTTTGAGGATTATGCCCCCTCAGTTTTTCATCCACTTCTATTACTTTAATTTCTACCATGAGCATGCATTAGTTTTATAATGGGTGTGTGAACTGTGTGTATGTAAGCCCTAATATCCACAGTTAGTGTAAAAAGATAGCTAATGGACATTAAATCTCATAATCCTTGTTTTTACTGTCATATAATCAAATTCTATTACCCTAAATTCTGAATTTTTAGAAACAAACCTTTCATTATTACCATTATCCTAGATATTCTCCCTACCTTAAAAGAGCTGCTGAAGTATTTTTCCCTGATTAAAAAAAAAAAGATGATGTAGTGTCTCCTTAACCTTGGAAGAGACCTTCACTGGGTGCCTCAAATTAAGAATAGCAAGCATGAAATTCACTGTCACCATGAGAACATGTTTCTGTTCACGTCTTCCATCCAAAAATTTAACATCTTTTTCCGTCTTAACTAAGCACTTAAGCACTGTGGCCTTAACTTTTGCAGTTTACAGAACAGCAAAAAATAGCACGTTTTTTCCTTCTTTACAATTTCACAGAAGATTTGTTCATACTTTAAAGCAATCTCAGCAAACAACCTTTTTTCCCCTCATTAAGTCAGGAATTTTTTTTTACCTTTTCACTTTAAAGAAAGTACTTCTACAGTTTCTTCGTGACATATCCAAAATGCTGGCATTGCTACTCTCACATGATCGGGCCATTTCTAAGCAAAATAAAGACTACTTGAACACAAATACTGTGATACCAGAATAGTTGATTTGATAACTGGAACAGCTACTAAAGGAGTAACAAGAAGGTAGCACAGACAGCATGGAGAGCCCAGACAATTCATGTCCTGGAGGGAAAGAGTGGGACAGTATAAGATTTCAGCATTCTACTCAGAACAGCTCAAGATTTCCATTTAATATTGTAGCTGACCATAGTTAACTAAAACCACAAAAAGTGAAAGTATGGGTAAGAGGGACCTGTTGTATATAAAATGATTTGCCCTGCCCAGTCCCCACTGAAGGACAGATGTTCATAAAAGCAGATAAACAGTTACCATTTTTTTTAGAAAATATGAATCCTCACAGGAAAAATACAACCTAAACAGGAGATTCAAAGCTATATGGCCCTCAAAGACTCACCATCTGAGTTACAGAGAGCATGTATGTGTCAGGTCTCTGAAATATCAGAGAAGAGATATGCAAGAAGTAACCTGAATATTCTGCATAAGAAAAGGCCTAAAATAGATAAAAACTGTCATCAACTAATACCAGTAAAGAAATTTTAAATCATCAGAACAAAATGAAATATCTCAAACCCACAGAACAAGAATGTATCTCTATTAATGGGGTCCTTACTTTCAACAAGTCTCCCCAGGTGAATAATATACACACATCCTGATTAAAAACAAGTGGATCACACTATAATGGCTTTATGGCACTTTGTTGCATGACTAAATGGGCCGATTTCTATGCTACTTAAGCAACTTCCTAATATTATATTATGAAAATCCTAATCCTAATTAAATGAGTTTCTTTCTAGACCTATAACAAACTCAGTACCAGAATCATATCAAGATAAATGGCAATTAGTAAGTCCTTGATATTTTTCCTCAGTTTAGAATGAGTGACAACTTTTATGTTACTATTTGGAAGTTAATTATGTATATATACAATCATATGCCACATAACATCTTGATCGATGATGAACCACATATACAGAGGTAGTCCCATAAGATTATATACTCTATTTTTGCTGTACCTTTTCCATGTTTACATATGTTTAAATATATCAATATTTAATATCATTGTGTTACAAAAGCACAGTAACATGCTGTACCAGTTGTAGCCTGGGAGCAACAGACTAGGTGTACAGTAGAATACAGCATCTAGGTTTGTGAAAGTATACACTCAGGTTTGCACAATGATGAAATCACCTAATTTCTCAGAATCTCACAATCCTATGCTTTTAAATTTCAATAAGAAAAAATTTTAGAACTCTTGATAATTTTTAAAACAAGAAGAATTCAACTTACTTTCCACATATATTATTTTAATAGTCAGCCTAGGAATAAATGCCTGAGTGGAGCTCTTTCAAACAGACAAAAATTAGAAATAAATTAAAAACTGCAGAAATTAAAAGCCAAATAGAGCTTTAAAAGAATTAAGAACTGCTGAATGCTCAATTTTAACTTTTTTATTTACATCATTAACATGTTCATCCTTTTTATTCACTCTATGTCCATGAAATATGCTTCATATACATGGTATATTACTAGACTACATACGCATTAATTCATAGTAAGACTGTATATGTATTAATGCATCTTATAATATTGTTTGACTATAATTTACATAATACCTCTTTTAGATATGATTAATGGTTACCAGATTATAAGGAATAAATGTTGGCATCCACATAATACCAGAAATAATGAATACCTAGGTTCAACAAGCATGCTCTAGGGATTTAGTTTTCTTAAACCTAATTGCTTTCATTTTAGAAATTAGTTTTTCTTGAAAGAAGGTTTTCAACTTGAATGTATAGTGACTGAAGTTTTTCTTGTAGTGGCAACCTACGATATTTAATATTCCTAAACATGATGCTATTTTAAGGGTGTGTTAACAACTATGTGTTTCAAAAAATAATATTTAAGACTAAGTGCTAGGGTAAAGGGGAAATCAATTATTTCTTAAAAAAGAAAACAAGAGACAGACTTGGAAAAGTTCTTCTAGAGGATATAGCAACTAAAGAGCCAAGAAAAACTTCATTTCAGAAGACAGGAAATACTCTTTAATGTGCCAAGGAAGATTTCCTCAAGAAGGTAAAGAAGGTATTCTTTAATGTAAAATTAACTAAAAAAATACCTTTAAAATCATATTCAAGAGCTTAGAATGACAGCTTTTTATGTCTGCTTAGCACAGAAATCCTGAACTATCTTTAACATCACTTTTATAATCTTGTCAAAAAAAATAGCAAAATAAGGCAATGATTCCACAAAGATGCATTAATATACAACAAACAATATGCTAATATGCAAACAGACCAAGCCTGATAATTGAGAGAAGGGAATAAAACTAAACT